CCAGGAGGTGGAGGTTGCAGTGAGCCGAGATCATGCCACTGCACTACAGCCTGGGTGACAGAGTGAGTCTCCATCTAAAAAGAAAAAAAAAAAAAAAAGAAAAGAAAAGAAAAAGAAAATAGATTCCTATTACACTTATGCAAATAATTATACTGACAAAACTTAAGAATACTCACAGATAGTTTCCAAGTTCTGGAGAAAATCAGATAGAGATAAACAAGTGTGCTTCAAATTTTGTTCATGGATGTAAATTGTTACAAGCTGTCAATCACTCAAAAGAAAAGTTTCTTTGACTTTGAAAACCAAAACAAAGGATTAACAATATTTTAAGGAAAATGTCAGAAAGATCACTCCAGTATCCTATTAGTTCAGTTCATGAAGTTAATTCCTGTCCTGCTGAATATTAATTAACATTTTAGCTCTTCAAGAGTCCTGAACATTTTTCCTCTATTCTGATGTCACAATCTCCAAAGTTATCAGAAACCTGCATTTAAAAGCAGCTGTTAGAACTTTATAGCTGATTATAAAACTACCTTCTAAAGAGGACCAAGGCAAAACAAAACAATTGTTTATGGATGACAACAAGTTTTAGGGTAGCCACAGTTAAAGGTACAGTTAGCAAGGATATCTGCTACCTTTGTGGCACACAATAATTTTAACAATTATAATTATCATTGATAATGTGCACTAAGATATATCAGAATTATAAGAGTCTCCCATATTTTTGGAACACACACTAATAACATATTTATACAAATATAGCTCAAAGAAAACCAAACACCATTTTATATTTGACAATGCTTTCTGTATGATTTTATACCATATAAGCCCAATTTTACCTTTATATTAGTGAGCTATTAATGTTAACCTCAATTTTAAATAAAATCTTGTAGACACATTTACCCAATGTTAATGTTTGACCATAGGTACCTTTTTTTGTTTGTTTTTGTTTTAAGGCAGAGTCTGGCTCTGCTGCCCAGGCTGGAGTGCAGTGGTGTGATCTCGGCTCACTGCACACTCACGCCATTCTCCTGCCTCAGCCTCCCGAGGAGCTGGGACTAAAGGCACCTGCCACAATGCCTGGCTAACTTTTTGTATTTTTATTAGGGATGGGGTTTCACCGTGTTAGCCAGGGTGGTCTCGATCTCCTGATCTTGTGATCTGCCTGCCTCAGCCTCCCAAAGTGCTGGGATTACAGGTGTGAGCCACCACACCTGGCCGACCATAGGTAACATTTTTATAGATCCTTTTTAACCCTTTATAATTTCTGTTAAAGAGCAGGTTAGTGCTTTAAGAGAAACTCAGCCAGGCACGGTGGCTCACGCCTGTAATCCCAGTACTTTGGGAGGCCGAGGCACGTGGATCACCTGAGGTCAAGAGTTGGAGACCAGCCTGACCAACTTGGGAAAACCCACATCTCTACTGAAAATACAAAATTAGTCTAGTGTGGTGGCATATGCCTGTAATCCCAGCTACTTGGGAGGCTGAGAATCACTTGAACCCTGGAGGCAGAGGTTGCTGTGAGCTGAGCTGAGATTGTGCCATTGCACTCCAACCTGGGCAACAAGAGTGGAACTTCATCTCAAAAAAAAAAAAAAAGGGAGAAACTCATTGTGCTTTTATTTTAATGCTCAAGTTACCGAAAAACTGGATGATATCCCTACAACTTTTCCTTTACAATTAACCTTCCAAAACTTGCCTAAACCTTCATTTTTATTTTATTCAATTTAAAACAATTCTTTAATCTTTTATTCTAGGTAAAAATCCACATTCTCATGCCTCCTTATAATCTTTTTACCAAAAGTATATGTAAAGTGTTTTTTCAATAGTTTTAAATACATGTTACACTGTTAACTTTTAGCAATCTTTACTTTTGTTGGTAAGTTTAAGATTTTAATTATGTGCTAGGTGTAGAACCTAGGATCTAGACAGAAGTGCAGATAAGGTCTGGCTTATTCCAGTATTTAACACCATGTCTCCTAGGTCTTACCTCCCGGCAAAGCAGGCAAGTTGTACAGCTAAGAGTTATAGTGGCATTTTATAAAACATTCAGGAGGTCTAATCACTTTTAAATTGTACACTTCTTGCACAAATTCCCTTTTATAAAATTTTTCATAATCTTCGCAATCTCTGACATACCTCGACTTTCTGACTTATTGCAAACATCACTTTCTTCAAACAACTGGTTAATTTACTTTAGGACAGAAATTTATCATATAAGATTCTTTTTTATAAATTCTCTTTTCTTCA